TTAATTAATTTAAAAAGACAGCCTTTCTTTGTGGAACAGCCCTGGCTGTCCTGGAACTTGATCTATAGACCAGGTTGACCTAGAACTCATAAAGATCCACTTGCTTCTGCCTCCCAAGTGCTGGGATTAAAGACATGAGCCACTACAGCCATGTGAAAGACCCACTATTAATCGGGATCTTCTGAGGTCAAAAGATTCACCTTTAACCTGGGCCACACTTTCTGCTGACAGCCTATATAAAGGACACGGAAGAAGGAGATTCTCACTTTTTGTTTGTTCTTGCTCACCCTGGCAAATCCTCTACTTCACTGGCATTAGATCCTATCTGTTTGGGATTCTGATGTATACAGCTGAGACATCTAGCCTTCTAGACTCAATAAGTACTGAATTTTTGGACCTTCCATTGGTAGCCACTGTTGGCCTAGTTGAACCATAGCCTGTAAGCCATTTTAATAAATCCCCTCTATCGATGGGTGGATGGATTATAGAATAGATATATAGATAGATAGATAGATAGATAGATAGATAGATAGATAGATAGTGTTCATTTGTCCATTCAGTTGTTTCTCTAGAGAACCCTGACTAATAGAGTCATCAAAAGAGTCCTTGTGGGGCTGTCAAGATAGTTCATCACATCCACAAAAAGAACATTTTTGAACAAGTAATTTTTGTGGACATTTCTCCTTAAGTTTGGATCTAACCCAAATCATCTAGAGAAGAGTAGATTCTCTCCCTCACATTTTTAGAAGGACAAAACAAAACTCAAGATGCCAAGCCTCTCCAAAGCCCTATTGTATTAATATTTGAACTCCTATTGACTCTAATGAGGAAGAGAATAAATGATACACACTGCCTTCTAACTCTGGAACACAAGCATTTTCAACTATGTAAGTTTACACATGCATCTCAAAAGTTATTCTCAATAGGTCAAGGTGTTCTCTGCATGTCCCAACAAATTAACATTTTATTTTTATGATTCTACTATTAAAGGACCCTTTACCCCAATATTGTTTAAGTTATTGCAGTTTTTGTGCATACATATGTGAAAATTAATTTATGAATCTTTTGTTCTTATGCCTGGCTTACTTTGATTTTACTGATTTTGAAAAGTTTTCCACTGGGCTGGACATGGTGGCACAAAACATTTATTCCAGCACTCAGAGGCAGAGGCGAGTAGATCATTGTGAGTTCAAAACCAGCCTGACAAACATAGTAAGTTCTAGGCCAGTCAGGGCTACATACTGAGACAAAAAAAAAGAAAAGAAAAAAGAAATCATATTGGATTTTATTTCTTTTTCCTTTTCCCCAATAGTTTTAGCACATACGTCTATTTCATCTATTTACAAAACAAGAACATCTAAAATTTTTAAATCAAAATTGCTAGTGTTTCCTTTTGTTTTGGATGTATATAACCATTCACAGGTGTGTAATATGTAAGTAAACAGGAAAAAAAATCCAGAAACTAGAAAGCAAAGTTTGATCCATGAAAGGTAGACTTTAGGTTTGCCCTACTCGATACAATCCAGTCCACCACCACCACTAAGAGCACACCTTAACCTTGAGAAACCAGTAACCCTGCCCACTTGAAAATGTGGACACAATCTCCAGAACCCACAGATGAAAGGACAGAACCAAACTCAAGTTATTTCCTGACCTCCATAGATATGTTGTGGTGCAGAAATATAAACATGCACAATAAATAAATGTAAACTTTTTAAAAATCAATTTTCAGGCCACTGAGATGGCTCTTTGAGTAAGACCATCTCCTACTAAATCTGACCGCCTAGGTTCTATTACTGTAACTTATATGAAAAAAGGACAGAACCAATTCCTGAAAGCTTTCCTCTGACTCCACATGTACACTGAATGTGCGTGCATACACACACACACACACACACACACACACAATCAAACAAAAAATTAATTAACTTTTTTGATTTGTTTGTTTTTCAAGGCAGGGTTTCTCTGTGGAGCCCTGGCTGTTCTGGAACTCACCCTGTAGACTAGGCTGATCTCGAACTTACAGAGATCCACCTGCCTCTGCCTCCCAAAGTCCTAGGACTAAAGGTGTACACCACCACAACCCAACTTTAACTTTTTTTTTTTTTTTTTTTTTGGTTTTTCGAGACAGGGTTTCTCTGTATAGCCCTGGCTGTCCTGGAACTCACTCTGTAGACCAGGCTGGCCTCAAACTCAGAAATCCGCCTGCCTCTGCCTCCCAAGTGCTGTGATTAAAGGCGTGCGCCACCAACGCCCGGCTTCCAACTTTAACTTTTAAAAATAAGAACCAACTTTTAGCTGAAAAGAGAACTTGCCTCCTTAAAATAATAAAGCTCTCTATTGAACCATTGGATGAGTCACATAAACAAACGCACACTGACATCTAAAATAAAACCGTCAGTCAATGGCTACTTTCCACAACCGAAGCACACAATAATAGTCTGCCAAACAGCCAGGGTTATTTAATTTGAAATATTAATAAAGGGATCAATTACTTATTCACAGGATAGTCCTTCTGAAAGCTAAGAAATTCCAAAGAGGGCTAACAATTTAGCTCAATCATCCATGTTTGCCTGATATGCCACAAAGCTCTGATTTCCAGCACCAGCACCACAGAAAGATGGACACTGTGGCCCACATCTGTATTCCTTGCACTAGGGACGTGGAAGCAAGAGGATTAGAAACTCAAGGATAACCTCAGCTACAAACTTCAAGGATAGCCTGGGATATATGTGATCCAGGATAAAATGGAATGAATGAATGAATGAATGAATGAATGAATGAAAAAATTCTAAGGAAATACTATCAGTCTAAAAGTAGCATAATAATCTGAGTCAATACTAAATATAAAAATTAATTGCAGTAAAAATTAAGGACAATATGTACTCTATTTTAGCCATAAGAATAAGAAGCATGACCACGGATAGACATGGTATTGCCAAGACCCTATTTAGAAACCTAAAAGGAATACACAAATGGTGGGTTGAGAAGGATAGGTCAGTAGGTTCTAGGCATTATGAGAATATCAGAATGTCTGGACTCCAAGTAAGACAAGACTACACCAATCAGAACAGAATATAAAGAGACCCTAGGAATAGAATACTAGACAGTATAAGGAACACAATAGAATTCTTTGTTGTTCTGTGCTGTCTAGAGAGTTACAAACATACCAAATTATGGTCGGGGCAGACTTCAGGTTCCCCTGATCCAATCTGCCATTACGAACAAACCTAAACACAGGTTATCTAATAATTGGGATTACCAGAACCCACATCCTCTGGATGTGTAGCATACAAATCAGTCCCTGTGTGTGACCAAGCCAGCTCAGTCAGTCAACAGGGTTTCAAGGGAGGGAGCAAGGATTGAAAAGAAAAAGACAATTAGACAACATTATAACATGACTCAAGCCAGTGGTGAGGCTGAAGCAGGTTTATTTTTCTCCAGTCTGTTTTTGTGCCATTCTAAGTACATGCAAAGTACTAGTACCTAGTACTAGTCAGTTTTAGGTCAAGGAACAAACAAGGCAATAAACAAAGTCCCGTGGTATTCAGGGACTTACAAGGTGATCAAGATCTTGAGCCTACTTTCTTGTCCTCACCCAAAGTCAAACTCCAGCCTGAGCCTACTTTCTCGTCCTAGTCTAATTCTTACTTGAGCCTACTTCTGCGTCCTAATCTAATGTCAAATTCCTGCCTAATTCCTAGAAGCGGCCCCACGAGCTCTCCATATGTATGAATATTTACAGTTAGCCTCCCTGGGACTGAGGGTGATTTTAGTTCCCCTTATATATGTCTTTGCTACTTTGTGGGTTCCCTTTTTCTTCCCACCATTATCCTTTCCCTCTTCTTACCCCCTAACACTAGACAGGAAAGAAACGAATAGAGTGGAGAGAGGAATTAGGAAAATCCCTGAATGTGATTTCTTTTCTTTTGCTTCTCCTTTGACCTCAGCTACTAACAAACCACAAACAACCTCCTCCCTATATAACCAACAACTGGCCCACCCCAACTCCCAGTCTATCGGACCCTAACATTTATATACTCTGAAAAGTCCCCAGAATTCCAAATATAACACAATCGCAAAACCTATCTGCCGCAGACAGAACCACGATTCTGCTAGAGCACAAGACAAATCACAGTCAGTTGCTGCAGGCAGTCCGAAGCAGCCCCACATCCCTACGCCTGGAATCAAAACAAAAGCACCTTCTTATAATATGTTTTGCTTTTGTTTTGTTTTGTTAAGAAACTAAGATTCCAGAATTCTCACTACATCGCTTCCTCTGCTGGGGAAAACTGGAGAAGACATTTAGCGTATCCTACCGTATACTTCAAGTCCACCAGGTCTCCACACTTCCCACCTAAACGTTGTAAGACCATACAACCCTGCCCATTCTACAAATCTGGACGCAAACTCCTGTCTTCTCATAGAAACTTGAGTAAACTTTTAATTCCAATGTCTAAATGACTTTCTGTTTCTACAGTTTAGTCCTTTCGTCCTCTCCCTTTAAGGGCACCGGTAAAACTTCAGCACGATTCCATCCTTTTCTCCTTCCCCTCAGGAAACTCGTTAAATGACTTTGTCTTCTCTTGCCTCCGACCTACAGCCAGCCCCCATCCGGGGCCCTCCCTTCTACACTGGGTATGTTGTACTTTCCGTCTGTCCCCTCATTCCACCTTCCTTACTCTGCTACGCAGCATGCGTCCCTCAGCAGATCAAACAACAACCCTTCCGGCCCACCCCTTGCCCATCCTCAGCTTCCGGTTTGTCAAAGTTCATTTGCTCCTGTCAGTGGGTTCGACTCTCTCCTTAGCCTCGGTTTAGGTGCTGGTGCTCGGCGTCTTAGTATCCTCCTTCAAAGTCTTCATCCTAGTTCTTTAGCAGCCAATAGCACACTCCTACGGACTTCGGCTTCACCCACCAACTGGACGGGCGCCGCCTAATTGCTGCCGCTCGACGTCCGCGGGGGCGTCTGGGAGTTGTAGTCCGGACTAGTGAGCTGACGCAGTTCAGAACAAGACCGACGGGCGGGCGCCATTGTGTCTTTTGCAGGCGCTCGTAGCGCTGCGTGAAAGCCCGTCGGGGACAGCGCCCATCTTCTATTTTATTTGCAACCTCTGGAGCCCAGTGTCGGCGTCGTTAGTGGTTCCACTTCTACAGACCACGAAGAAGGTGTGTAGTCGTGGTTCCGGATCCTGAGGAGGACATAGCGTTCTAGATGGGGAACACATTTTAAGAAAACCAACCGCATTCTGGATTAGAGGACATCAGCTGTTCCCTCTCGGTTAGAGGGGAACCTGTCTTGTAGGCTTATGTGAGTCGGGGAGAGGACTCACTGGGCACTTTGCAATTTTGGGGAGGACTGGTCATGTCCTGCTAAGGAGTGGGATATGGGCAGAGGTGGGGGAGCCACTGAGCACTTTCCTTAGTGCCCCCCTCTTCCACCTTCAGTTTCGTCAGCATTCCGCCTACTCCCGTGAGAGAACATTGAGGACAGTATGGCTTCCACGCTTCCAACAACCTGGCCTCATGTGAGTAAAGGCTTCTTTTCAGCTTTTGAGTGCGCTCAGGGGCCGGCTAGTGGTGCGACGCTTGTTCTCAAATATCCTAGAGTTCCGGGAGGAGTTGAAGGACTGCCCAAGAGGGTGGTTAGAATAGAGAAGAAGCAAACAAACCGATTTCTGAACCGGGAACTGGCAAGCCAGATGGAGGGTCTTCAATTAAAAAGCAAAAAACATTTCTATTACATTTATTTTGTGTGTGGGTAAGCACGTGTGTTCTACTGCCTGCTTGTAGAGGACAAAGGACTCCTTTCCGGATCGTTACCTTTCTTTCAACATAAGAGTCCTGGAGATCAATCAAACTCAGCCTTGGTAGCAGGCACCTTTACCCACTGAGCCATCTCACCAGACCTGTTCTTTTTTTTTTCTTTTCTTTCTTTTCTTTTCTTCTCTTTTCCTTTCTTTTCTTTTCTTTTCTTTGGTTTTTCGAGACAGGGTTTCTCTGTGTAGCCCCGGCTGTCCTGGCACTCACTCTGTAGACCAGGCTGGCCTCGAACTCAGAAATCTGCCTGCCTCTGTCTCCCAAGTGCTGGGATTAAAGGCGTGCGCCACCATTGCCCTCACCAGACCTTTTCAAAAAAAAATTTTTTTTAAGCTGGGAGTCTGGTGAGGAAACTGACAGGTGTAAGGAAATAAGAGGCTCACGTTTAGTTTTCAGCAGCTACTTTAAGGAAGTGACAATTCAAAACCGAGAAAAGAGGTGTAGATAGGAACCAACAGTCCTATCCCCTGGTTAGTGAGGAGGAAAGAACAGGTTTTCATAGACCCCAGGTCTCCCTTGTCCCCTGATTACTGTCAGACAGATTTGCTCAAGGATTTAGACGAAGGAACTCGAGACAAGTAAACTGTAACTAGGTCATCTTGCTCAGCCTTTCTATTTTTCTCTCACTGTGGAAGAGGAAAACCCGTGGCTGAACTACGTCTTGTGGCTTTTAGGAATCTGTGACGTTTGAAGATGTATCACTGACATTTACCAAGGAAGAGTGGGCACAGCTGGACCTCCAACAGAAGTGCCTGTACAGGGAAATCATGATGGAGAACTACAGTAACATGATTTCAGTGGGTAAGGCAGCCTCCACGTTAATAAGGGTCTGTTAGGGTGGGTGGAGCATGCTTTTATTTCCGTCACTTCGGAGGTAGAGGAGGATTGGAAGTTCAGTGCCAGTCTTGCTTGACTCTACCTGCCCCTACCCCAAATCCAAATGTGTGGTACCTCTTTCTGAACTGTTTGTGTTTGGGCTTAGGCTAGAGGGACCCGAGGAGAAGTGTTTAGGGAATGTAGAGCTTGGTAGAGAGGGAAAAGGCAGCTTTTCAGTATGACGTTAGAAGTTTCATCCAATCAATACATCAGAGCCCCTGAATACTGGGCAGAGCCTATTCGGGATGTTTGTAGCTGTAGTGACAGTTGCCTGTAGTTTTTACGGCCCATCAAACATATGAGATGTCAGTGTCCAACAGCTCACAGGTATCATCAAAGATTTCTTTGTGATTTCTTTGTGGTTCTTGGGAAGTCTTCTGTCCTCTCTAGTTATTTCATAGCTATGGCTCCAAGCTTTATGTCTGTGTTTAAGCAGAAACAAAAGTTGATAGTCCTGACCAGTTCTTTCTCAACTGTCAAATTTAGCAGGGAAGCAAAAGCTTTCCCAGAATGTCCCTCAGTTGAACAACGTCCCTTTTTTACTTTATGGTACTTTTGCTATCAAGGAAACCCAAGAAATCCAACAAAAGGAACAGATATGTAGTTGTCATTGCCCAAGACCTGAAGACATCATGTCAGAGCATGGGAGGAAGAGAGGATAGAATGTTGCAGCAGGATAGCATTTTCTCTAAGCATACCTCCAAGCCCTGTCTCTTTTCAATTGAGCAGAGCATCACTTTTCCAAGCCAAATGTGATATCTCAGTTAGAAGAGGCAGAAGACTGCTGGCCAATGCAGAGACAAATTCCTCAAGACACTCTTCCAGGTAAGAGCCAGGCATGTGGGGGTTTCCAAAAGGGATGGATCTTCTGGTTATTCTGAGACTGATGTCTTGGCCAGACAAAATACAAACAACCAATGATGTACAGAATGAAAGACAAGTTAAAAAAAATCTATACTGCTGGGCAGTGGTGGCGCACACCTTTAATCCCAGCCCTTGGGAGGCAGAGGCAGGCAGATTTCTGAGTTCGAGGCCAGCCTGGTCTAAAGAATGAGTTCCAGGACAGTCCAGGCTATACAGAGAAACCCTGTCTCAAGAAAAAAAAAAAAAAAAAAAAAAAAAAAGGACTGATGTCTTCTAAGCAGTATGAGAACTCAGGTAGCATGTTGTAAGAAGTATGAGTTATTTTCTAATCTGCAGTCAGTTTTTTATGATGCTGATGATTAAGCCCAGGGCCTTTCACATGATAAGCAGAGCTGACATGCTACCACTTGAACTAACGGCCCCAGCTTCAGTCTTTATTTAGGGGTGGGGGTTGTGGTATTTGGGGTTTGTGTATAGTGGCGGTGGTGTTTGTGTTGGGGGTTTTGTTGTTTTGTATTTTTGTTTTGTTTTGAGATAAGGTCTTAGGTAGTTCAGGCTGGCCTCCAACCTATTAATTAACTAAGGATATGAATTCCTGATCATCCCTCTGTCTTAGAAGTTCTGGAATTACAAATGTGTGCTACCACACTGGCTCCTGTTTTTATTTTTCTTCTAAGTGTTTTTGTTGTTGTTTTTAAGCACATAGGCATATTGTCTGAATACTTTTTTGAACCCAAGCATTTTTAACCTTTTTTGTTGTTGTTCTGTTTATCTGGTTTCACTTTATATATGGTGGGCATAAAACCTTTGAGCCCCTCAAAAGTTCAGATTCATTCTTCTTCTGTTTGTTGGAAACAGCATCTTTCTGTAGACTAAATTACTATTATCATACTACAGAAGTCTCTTCTGTGTTCTTGTGCTTTTTTTTTTTTCCCCTTTCTGGGTGCATGCCATAATGCGACACATTTTATTGTATATTGATGAACTTTAATAAATTTCTATACCCCTTGTAGTTTAAAAAAAAAATCTTAGCCAGGTAGTGGTAGCACACACCTTTAATCCCAGCACTTGGGAAACAGAGGCAGTTGGTTCTCCGTAAGTTTAAGGCCAGCTGGTGTACAGAGCAAGTTCCAAGACAGCCAGGACTACAGAGAGAAACCATCTTTAAAAAAAGCAAAACAGCGGGGGCGGTGGTGGCGGCACACACCTTTAATCCCAGCACTTGGGAGGAAGAGGCAGGCAGATTTCTGAGTTCAAGGCCAGCCTGGTCTACAGAGTAAGTTCCAGAACAGCCAGGGCTACACAGAGAAACCCTGTCTCGAAAAATCAAAAAAAAAAAAAAATCTTGGATGTTTTTTAATCCTCCAGATAAACACCAGTTTGCCTAGATTAGTTGAGAAAAGCTATTAGAGTATGCATTAAATTTGATTGGACTTAATCATTCCTATTACCTGTTCTGGTTAATCCTTGCATGGTTGTTCATTTGAGCCTGGATGTTGCTACATCCTCTTAACATTGACGTCAATTACTTTTTCATTGACCTTAATTACTTTTCTATTGCTGTGAAGATATACCATGACCAAGATACAAGAAAAAACATTTAATTGAGGGTTTTCGTGTAGTTCACTGGGTAAGTCCATAAGGATCATGGTGACGAGCATGGCAGCAGGCAGGCAGGCAGGCAGGCATGGTGCTGAAGCAGTAGCTAAGAGTTTTCTTCCTAATTCACAAACCAGAAGCAGCTAGAGAGCTCGAGCTAACTGGGAATGGCATGGACTTTTGAAACCTCAAAAGTCAACCCCAGTGACAACAGCTCCTCCAACAAGACAACACCTAATCTTTTCTCAACAGTTCCACCAACTGGGAACCAAACATTCAAATATATTAGCCTAGAGGGCCATTTTCATTCAAATCACCACAATCTACTTGCTGGCCCCATAGGCCCATGGCAATATGCATTCAGTCCAACTTCAAAAGTCCCCATAGCCTTTCATAGTGTCAACACTTTAAAAGTTCATAGCCTTGGGGCTGGAGAGATTGCTCAGTAGTTAGCGCATTGGCTATGCTTGCAGAGCCCTAGCAGTCACATGGCAGCTCAGAACCATCTGTAACTCCAGTCTCAGGAGTTCCATGATGCCCTGTTCTGTCCTCTGAGGTCACTGCACTCACACAAGTTCAAAGTCTCTTCTGAGACTCAAAACAATCTTTTTAATTGTAAGCCCATTAAAATGCAAAAAACAAGTTACGTTCTTCTGACATACAGTGGCACAGAATATATATTTCCATTCCAGAAGAGGGAAAGTGAGGAAATACTGGACCTAATCAGAACTAAGCAAGGTAAACTCCAAATCCTGTAGGTCCATGTGATTGGAGGCTTACTTACAGTTTCAGAGGGTTAGTTCATGACCATCATAGTGGGTAGCATGGCACTGCAGCAGTAACTGAGAGTATACGTCTGAATCACAAGCAGAAGGCAGAGGGAGAGAGCTAAATGGGGCTGGCATGAGCTTTGGAAACACCCCCAGTGGACACACCTCGTCCAGCAAGGTCACAACTTCTGATCCTACCAAACAATTCATCCAACTGGAACCAAGTATTCAAACATGAGTCTATGGGTGTTGCTAACTTTTTCTTTGCTTTTGACAATTACATAGCGCCATCATCATATGCAGAGTGGGTGTCTGGCCTGGCGTGTAGGAAAATGTGTAGGTTTTGATGAACGTGTTGCTAGCTAGATTGTGTTGTTTCACATTGCCGTTCATCTGAATGGGTAAATATTCATCTAGTGCTTTCTAATGAATGAAAAATCATTCCTATATGATAATTAAGAAAATACCTATTTCCATTGCAGAATCTTCCAAGGTGGTTTTAGTGATTTTTTTTCCCCCTTTGAACAGTTAAAGTGGTAACATATTAGATATAAGAAGTGCCTTGCTGTAAGGTTGTGTTTTTGTCTTAATAGTCATGAAAGACATAGTAGTTTTCACTGGTTTTGCTAGCTTCAGTTTTTTTTTTATTTTGGCTATAAAGCACACCATGTGCCACTGGATGCTTCTCTTTGTGTTTTTATGCTCTGGTGAAGAAGCATCAGAGCACTTTCTGACCCTGTTCACCTGTCAGATCTCTACCTGCTGCCATCTTTGGTGATGACGTTTAGTTTTACATCAACGTTCATCTGAACGAGTAAATATTCATCTAGTGCTTTCTAATGAATGAAAAATCATTCCTATATGATGGAAATAGGAAAATTTTGAGGCTAGGAGTAGGAAACCAAAATACAAGAACATGCAGGTTAAGTTAGCAGAAGGCACTTGGCCGCATCAGCTGTGGGGGAAGCTTGACTTTTATTGTTGAGGAATGGTGTGACATGGGTTTTTTACAGCTCACTCTGGTTGGTTTGTAAAGAAAAAGCTGTGACAGGACACAGATGGAGAAAGGAAGCAAGCACCAGCAGTGCCCAAGGTTGGAATGATGATGCCTGCCCTGGGAAAGTAGAGAGTAGTAGCAGGTTTGGGGAGAATTAAAGAGTGTGTTTGACTCAAAGGTAGACTCAGTGGGTCTAAGTAATTAGATAAACTGGACCAAAACACTGCTGAGAATTCCTATGGGTGAAGGAAGCCTTGAAGGGATTTTCTATGGCTGTAGTTCATAATTTGTATGTTTACTACAAGAACTCTTTGTGATGCTGGAGATCCCAGGGCCTTGTATGTGCTATGCAAGCACTCTGCCACTGGGCTGCGTACATCCCCAGACAGGTATTGCAAGGAAAACAGCCTGAATTTTTGGAATTAACTTGTTTTAAAGATGTTAAAGGCATAAATTACTTTAAGGAGTGGAACTGTGGTTTTCTTTTTCTCTCCATAATGACATAATGTTAGGTAAAACTTTACACTAATCATGAAGAACTTCCTAATAGTGTTTACCTTGAAAGTTGGATTTAAACTGTGCCAAGCCTCTACTTATCCTGTCAATAGACCATAGATGAAAAGGGACCAGTGACACATCCAAGGAGGTTTGCTGAGCCAATTGCTTTTTTGAACTTCAAGAGGTCCGAGTAGTAAGTAAAAATGTAAGATTTTAGAATGTCATACATTACTATTAAATGAGATAATGCATCTTCACTAGTGTCCCAACAGTAGTGTGCAGTGCCTGTTATTAATGCATAAAAGTGAGATTGAATCCAAAGTTCAAATTCTTTCTTACAACTAAGCTTACAAGCTTCTCCAGCTCGAATGACAGCATGGAATGTGATTGGTGAGATAATACGAGAAAAATGGGTAAGTTCTAAGACAAATGTCGTTCAGCCTCAAGAAAGCTTTGAATTGAATAAGATCCTTTGATGGCGATATGAGAAAATAAATTAGGTTGTGCTCATGTATTCACTTGTCATTCTGTGGCCATTCAAAAAAGCACAGCCACATGTATATTCCTAAAGTGGGGCACTTGAAAGTTAACTAGACTTAATCATTAGAAGCAATGCATAAAAGACTATTGGCCAAGCATGGGTGGCACATAGCTTAAATCAAAGCACTTGAGAGGCAGAGGAAAGCTGGTCTCTTAGGAATTGGAGAATATCAAGGTAGCATAGTGAGACCCTGTCAAGAAATAAAGGAAAAAGAGAGTAACTAGTAGATGAATAAGTCATAATCACAGGAGAACCTCCAAAAAATGCTTTTTTTTTCCCCTTTTGTGTATATGTGGTTTTGCCTGTGTGTTTTTCTGTACACTGTATGCATGCACTTCCCACTGAGGTCAAAGGAGTTTCCTGGGACTGGAGTGACACATGGTTTTGAGTCATCATATGTGTGGTGGGAATGGAACCCAGATCCTCTGGAAAAAACAGACAGTACTATTAACTGCTGAGGCATCTCTCCAGCCGAAAACTTGAAAATTGTCAACTTAAGAAATGAAGCAGGAAATGAACCTTATAAGAGTCGCTTCCCTTTTGTTTGAGGAAGAGAGGCAGATACTCTTTGTATAGCCTGAGGATGTCCACATGCTCGAGCAAACATGTAGAGAATGAAAGAAATACTCATACAAAATGTTAGAATACATATATATGGAAAATGAAGGAATTGCACTACAGACCTCTGAGGGCTCAAGGCCTTATCAATTTGTTGAGTGTCTAGAATCTAGAGTGATCATGTATTTTGGATAGAGCCTAGTCCAGTACTGCTGATTTTTGTTGAAGAACACATTTTCTCTTGTCTTTTATGAATTTTCTCTCTGAGATATTTAGGGTGGGGAATCTGATATCAAAAAAGTGTACAGTAAATATGTTTAGTGTGAGAAAGCTCAGTTTCAGCTCAGCTTGGACCACCTTAACTGTTAGATGACTAAAACAGGATATTAATCTGTAAAGACGTGAATAGGACTCTTCTGTGAAAGTTTCAATATCTGAGAACTCCTCTAAGGGAAGAAACCTCAAAAGTATAATTGGAGCAGGAACAACTTCTGACCTAAGTTAGGTTTACCTTGAGAAAGCTTGTACTAGAGCCCCACCCCCACCCCACAAAAATACAATTTAGTAAAAATAAACACTACCATCTGAGAACTCTAAAGCCATGTGAATGTGCATGATAGAGAAGCACTTTCACGTGTAGCTCTCTTATTTGGTATCACAGTTGTACTAGGGATAGTCTTAAGAATGTAATTGCTATTAGGAAGCCACTGAGTATTAAAGAAACCCCTGACAGGGATCCCTGTGAATATGACAATGTGGAAGGCTTCAGTAGGAGTCCTCATTGGATCCTGTATCAGAGGACTCATATGGGCAAGGACCCTTTGGAAGTATTCTCTAGGGAAATCATCAGCTTTAACTCCTACGTTGTCTGAGAATGAGAAAATACACAATTATAAAGGATTACAGTGAATAAGAAAAGTGAAATGTCAGGAGCCTTAAACAAACAAATTATTCTATAAATTCCAATTTGTTAGCAATATGACTGATTTACTTGGCCCTCAGTAAGAAGGTACCACAGAGTGAATGAATACCTGAAGAAACCCCAAGAAACAAGAGTATATCTTCAAAGGGAATTTCAGTATGAGTCCAAACTTTGAGAAAGTAAAGGAAATCGTGAGGCAGATAGTGTTACAGAGACATCTGAGGGCCCAGATTTATAGATTTGAGAGTCCAGAATCTATAGAATGGCCATGTATTTTGGCTAGCCAAGTGGATCTCAACCTTCCTAATGATATGACCCTTTAATGCAGCTCCTCGTTTTATGGTGACCCTCAACCATAAAATTATTTTTGTTGCTACCTCATAACTGTAATTTTGTTATTGTTATGAACCCCTGTGAAAGGGTCATTCAACCCTCAAAGGGGTCATGACTCACAGGTTGAGAACTGCTCTGCTAGAGTCTAGTCCAGTAGTATATATTCATGGTATGTTGATTTTTGTTCAAGAATACACTGTCTTTTTCATGTGTTTGTTCTCTGGGACCTTTGTGTGCCATCTGTCTGTCCATCTGTCTGCCTCAAATATCTGTATCATGATTCTCTTAAAGAGATACCATTCTCTAGCATCCACACTTAAAATCTAGGGTCACTGGAAAGCTTGCAGTACATTGCTAAAACCAATGAATAGAGCTTTGAAGCAAACATTATGGATGATGAAGGGGAGACATCCCTCTAAAGAAGTTTTAAAAAATAAATTTTTTTTTAAAGCAAGAAACAAACAGGCCTGTTGTTGTAGGCCAAAAATGTCAGCTACTTGGAAAGCTAAGACAGGTTCAAGGCCAGTCTGGGCAATTATTTGTCCTTAAATAAAAAGTAAAAGGAGGGCCTGCAGATGTAGGTGGCAAAGTGTTTGCCCAGTATCCACAAGGCCTTGAATGAATCCCCAGCACCACATAACCACGTATGGTCATAGGTGCTCAGTGGTAAGAAGAACCTCAAAAAGTCCTCCTCTGCTACATAGAGCTCAAGGCCACCTGGGACGGCTGCCCTACCTCAAAAGAGTGTATGTCCTAGTTGATAATACCTCAGTGATTGAGTAGTCTCTTAGGGCTAAGACCTAGGCAAAGAAAGAAAAATCAAAAAGGAAGGGGGAAAAAAAATCTGCATGAATTTTATTTCTTTTTAGACAAAATACAAACAACCAATGATGTGCAAAATAAAAGACAAGTTAAAAAAATCTATACTGCCGGGCGGTGGTGGCGCACGCCTTTAATCCCAGCACTTGGGAGGCAGAGGCAGGCAGATTTCTGAGTTCAAGGCCAGCCTGGTCTACAGAGTGAGTTCCAGGACAGCCAGGGCCACACAGAGAAACCCTGTCTCGAAAAACAAAACAAAACAAAACAAAAAAAATCTATACCATAGAAGGAGGGTAAGGGAGGAAATCCATTCAGATAGATACTCTGCCATGCATGTAACTTGATGGTAATACTTTTTGATAAGAGAATAAGCCAGTTCCTTACGTACTTAACAAAAGAGTATTTGTTTTTCTTTTTGTTTGTTTGTTTTCTTTTTATTTTATTTATATGAGTACACTGTAGCTGCCTTAAGATCCCATTACAGATGGTTGTGAGCCACTATGTAGTTGCTGGGAATTGAACTCAGAACCTCTGGAAGAGCAGTCAGTCCTCTTAACTGCTGAGCCATCTCTCCAGCCCCAGTATTTGTGTTTGTTAAAACATGTAAATGGAACTGGGTCTCTCATATCTTAGGCTGGCCTTAACCTTACTATGTAGCCAGACTTGACCTTGAACATCTGATCCTCTTGCCTCTATGTGCTGGGGTTACAGGCATGCATCCCTGTGACTGGTTTTAATGAGTTTCTGGGGATATGCTACATCATTCTCTAAAAACCGAGCTACATACTCAGCCTGTTTTTATGTATGTTTTTTAGATGAGTTTGTTTTTGTGACTCTAGTTGGCCTATAACTCAATATATAGATCTGGCTAGACTCTTAACAGTGATCCCCTCTTGCCCTCTTTCCCCTGCCTCCCAAGAACAATGATTATAGGAATGTGCCACATTGCTTAGCTTTTGCTCTGGTTTTGACTTTTAGAATGTTCTGGGCCTTCTCCATACCCTGGAATGAATTCCTTTCCTGCTGAGAGTCCTCTGATGAAGATCAAGGTTGTTGAAGTCCTTACATTGAACAAGGATGTGGCTGGTCCCCGGAATGCCCTGATTCAATCTCTCTATCCAGAAATCGGAGAAGACTTGAAGCCAGGTAACCGCAAGCCAGCTAAACAACCAAGCAAGCGTTTAACTGACACTGAAGCTTCGCGCCAGAAGTTCCGACATTTCCAGTATGAAGAGTCAGCTGGTCCCCAGAAGGCTGTGTCCCGGCTTCATAAGCTGTGTCACCAGTGGCTGCAGCCTAATACACGTTCAAAGAAGCAGATCCTAGAGTTGTTGGTGCTTGAGCAGTTCCTGAATGCACTGCCTGAGAAGTTGCGGGTGTGGGTAGAGTCACATCACCCAGAAGATTGCAAAGCAGCAGTGGCTTTGTTGGAGAATATGACCTCAGCATCTAAGGATGATGGTGAGTGTCCTGTGAAGGCTTTGTGAGGGAATGAGGAGTGCTGGGGTGACTGAGGATGTTCCCATTCCAGACCACAAACATCCGTATCTTCCGTGTTCCCAGTTAAAATTAATGGAAACCTGAAGTGTTTGGTATCCATCCCTGTTCTCCCAAACAAAAACCTTCCATGGGCTTCAGTGGAAGCTTGCAAATGCAATGCATTTTTTTCCCCTTTATCCTTTTGCAATTCCTGACACATAGCCAGCCTTCCAGTTCTTTGAAAGGGCTATGAATGAAGTCCTAACTAAGGGAGGACTCGAGAGTTGACTGAGCCTGTGGGCCTTCAGAAAAGATGGGATGTGACAAGTGAGTACACGTATGATAGTACTAAGATGGTGAAGAGGTCAGGATACAGGTGGAGTTTATGGAGGCTGCTTCTGTCGCTGAAACCTGCTGGGACAAGAACAGTGAAGAGAAGAAGCAGGATGGATATCCCAATGAAACATTGGCCAAGAATCTTGTATAGCCTGTAGAAATTGAAAAGGCAAAGAATGAGTTCTTCCCTATATCCAAAAAAGAACGTCTTGATTTTAAGCCAGTGAGGCTGATGCCAGAGCTCTGGTCTCTGAAACCTTAATATATTTTACCAGATCCGATGATGTAGGCTTATAATCTGAAATACTCAAGAGGCCAAGTCAAGTCACCAGTTCAAGGCCTGCCTGAGCTACAAATGAGTTCAAGTCAGTGTGAGCAATTTATCATGACCCTGTCACAAAATAGAAAAGGACTGGGGCTGTCACCCAGGAGTGGCACAGCATTCTGGCTTTAATACCCAGGATTTAGGGAGTGAAGCAATTTATGACAGTTAACTGGAGTTCAACTCCCTCCAGAAGCTACATTTAAAAAAAAAAAAAAAATGGGCATGGTCATGCATGCCTAACCACACTATTATAGTGGATGGAGACAGGAAGGTCCCTCAGGTTTCCTGGCCTCCAGCCTGGCTACAAGTTCAGTGAAAGACACTGTCTCAAATGGACATAGTAAAGAATGATGTATTAAGACACCAGACATCCTCATCTAGCCTCTGCATGCACCCAAACACACATGCACATAAACGGTACTTACAAACACCAAAAAAGCTGTAAAGTGGCTCTAGGAAGAAGGGAAACCTTACTGGAAGAGTTCCAGGATGCTCTCTCTAACTCTAAGTACACCTCTACCTAGGAGGTTCAATAAGAGCCTCAACTCATCCCCTCATCCGTCTCATTTGCCCGCCTTCAGCTGGCTTCATTGCCATTAAGGCTTCCAAACACAGAATTTCTCTTTCCTACATGTTCCAGCAAAGGCTTCATTTGCTTTAAAAGTGTATGGTCTCCCATGTCTACCAGAGTCCGTGAAGGTAAAGGGATAGCACGGTGGAGCAGGCTGGGTAATGTCATTTGTCCCCATCCTAGCTGGAGTAGAATCAGCATGGTAAAAGCCCATATGTGAAGACACATGAGGAAGGCTGGACCTGGAAGAATCCTTGGAAGGGCTGTTAGTACTGCCCAGGACTGTTTAATGAGACCAGAAGCACAAAATGGGTACACATTCTATGACCAAGGGAAGATCCTTCTCTTCTCCAAGGCAGCAAAGAGGGAACCATACAAGCATGATAAGGGCTTGGAGACTAGAAACAGACTTTACCACTAAGGAAAAGGCCATTGCTTCAGAAATCAGAGCCTGAGACAGATGCTGGAATGGGGAGACAATAAAAGGTTTCTGTAGTAGAGATACCAGTCTCTGAGTGGTTCATGCAGAGTAATACACTGGGCCCATCCAGTTACAGGAATAGTTTACTGTGGTGAAGAGGTCAACATAGACCATTGAGGGGCATAGGTGTGCATAGGTCATGGATTGCAGACCTGGTGGTTCTGTGTGCCTGAGGGCTACCGCCTCATTAACTCTTTATGTGACATCTTCTCCAGCTCTACTTGCCTGCTCTAGTGAGGCCACTGATCAACCAAAGGACAAAAGGGAAGATGTGGCCACCTTACCAGTTACTGTACCACCTGAGGTAAGCAAGAACCTTTTGTTCCATTGGTCATAGCTTCCTTTAAGGAACCACCCCTAAGATGTCCCCTCTACACTGAGCCTTGCCAAGACTTCACAGAAGATAGGCCATTTTAACTTTCTGAGTTCTTGGATCTAAGTGGAATTCTAAAAAACCCAAGTGTGAAGGGTAACCCTCCTGACATTGTGATGGGCATACAGAAAGCAAACAGTAGGAGTCCAAAAACCAAGACTGAGGAACATAAGAACCAGAAGAATCACAGGCAGTTTGTAAGAACTATATTGTACCCTAGTTAAAATGAGTGAGCCCTTGTCCTTTGGAGACACTTAATTGGGGAATTAGAAATGAAACAGCATAGGCTCAGATCAGTCTCAGAACTAGGTGATGGGCATGCAATAGGATTAGCCCTATCAGCCAGGAAAATGGTATGTATATGGCATTGTTGTGTATTATGTATATGGTATTAGTGATATTAGTGTGAATATGGCTCTTTTCCCTACAAGTGGTTAATATTGGCTCAGGTGTGATGGAATTGTTGGCTCTCATGTAATGGGTAATGTGGGCTAGGCTTCACGCATGGCTGCTACCTGGGAATGGGAAGAAACTGATCCCAGACTCATTGCTCTGTGTTCTGTTCCTTCTAAGGTAGGCTCTGCTGCATCTGGGCAAAAACCTCCCAGATCCAGGCAAGGTGATGAGACGGAAGAGTCTTCTTTCAGAATCCTTAGTCACTCATAAGAAACTGACATGGCATAGGTGAATACTACACAAAGGTCAGACCTGTCTATTAACAGCAAGGATTTGTCTTCATTGTAGGTTTTATACTACAGGACAAGGCCGTTTCCTGAGGGAGATGGTCCTTTGGAGGATGTTGTCCTTACAATGCAGGCTTAATATAGATGCTAGTATGATCAGTGTAGCATGCTTATTGTACTTGTAACTCTTTGTCAATCAGGAGCTCTGCCTACCAGCTTGGGACCCAGACTTTAGTTTGGAAAAATACCCTGTGGATCTCTTTTGGGGTCAAAAAACGTCATTGTCTCTTATTAAACCACCAAAGCAGAAAAGTCCTTCTGTGTGGTAGAATGTCCCAGTGGCCTTTCTTCTACCCACACTGGCAAACATGGAGCTTTTATAACATTACAGGAGCCGGTGACTTTCCAGGATGTGGCTGTGGACTTCAGTCAGGAGGAGTGGCGGCTACTAGGTCCGATGGAGAGGACCGAGTATCGTGATGTGATGCTAGAGACCTTGGGCAACTTGGTCTCTGTGGGTAAGGCCATTCTTACATTTAGAAAGCCACAGGGTCCCCCAGATCTCTCGGTTTTTCTCTACCCAGTGTCAGAACTGGCTGTGCTCTCAAGAATCTCTTGATCTGTCCAGAATCTTTATCTGAAACTGTGACCTTTCGTTGGTAGGGAGCCTTGAGCCCACAGAGGCAGCCTCATGTTTGGTTTGCCTAGGGGAGTGAGAAAGCTCCTGGTTTTGCTGCTTCACAGCTTGTCACTCCCTAGACTGAACAACTGTTTAAGAAGATGTAACTTTATTTTTTAATACTGTCACACTGGCACTTATAACTGCAATATGTATATCTTTTGGTTTCTTTCAGGGTGGGAGCCTACATTGGGAAACAGAGAGTTAACTCCAGACTCTCCCATTCCTGTGGTAAAACCAATTCATGACCCAACCCCAAAAGATCTCTCAAGGAATGGTACCCAGTCCACTGTCTTTGAAAGTATCTCACAAAATGGAGTCCAAGAAATGCACACCATAGAATCAAATCAAGTGGAACTTCTACAGGAAAAAGGCCACCCTCAGAAGAAGCTCTCTGAAAGCTCCAAGGCTCAGGACCAAACTATTCTTTACGAAAGCCAGGACTCACTCAAGGAAGTTCTTCCCAGCAAGCATGTAAAAGTTAAACAGAAGGGCACAGGAAAGGGGAAAGGCAGGAAAAACACCATTTCCATGACACGAGGTTTACGCATAAGAAATCAGCAAAAGGACTCTGTGGAGTGGCAAGGCAGGAGTAGCAGCAATCCTATGACACATGACTCCTCTATAAAAAAACACCAACGGGGTTCTGAGCGGGGAAAAGCTGCAGCCAGCAGAGATCCCATTACACTTACTGTGCCTGCAAAATTTTACCAGAAAGCCTCTGGCTCTGAAGAGGTTAGATTCAGGGACAGTAGCAATGCCATGGTACCTGATGCACCTACAAAGATAGACCAAAAAGGCCCTGAATGGCATAAAGTTGGGGAAAGTAACAATTCCATGTCACAAGGTTCATCTGTACAAAATCACCAGATGGGGTCTGTGGTGGGAAGAGCCAGGGACAACAGTATCTTGACACATACTTTACCTGTAAAACTTAACCAGAAAGGCTATGAAGAAGGTAAAGTCCAAGGAAACAGGAATTCCTTGAAACATGTAAAATCTCACCAGAAGGGTTCTAAAGGGCAAAGAGTCAGGGAACTTAGCACTTCCGAAAAACATGTTCCCTATATAAAAAATCACCTAAAGACCGCTGAAAGAGAACAAGGCAGGGAAATCAATGCTTCCATAAAATATGGTCCCTATATAAAAACTTGCTATAAGGGTTCTGAAATGAGAAAGCTCAGGAGAGCAAACAATTGTGGGAAAGGCATCAACCGGCACGCTCAGCAGATATTCTTTATCAAAATTCACAAGGGGAGCCAAGTTTGCCGATGCAGTGAATGTGGGAAAATGTTCCGAAATGCTAGGTATTTCTCTGTCCACAGGAAGATCCACACAGGAGAGCGGCCTTACATGTGTATGGCCTGTGGGAAAGCATTTGTTCAGAGCTCCTCCCTCACACAGCATATTAGAATTCATAGCGGGGAGAGACCATTTGAATGTTCAGAGTGTGGGAGGACCTTCAATGACCGCTCAGCCATCTCTCAGCACCTGAGAACTCATACTGGAGCTAAGCCCTACCACTGTCAGCACTGTGGGAAAGCTTTCCGGCAGAGTTCCCACCTTACCAGGCATGAGAGAACTCATACTGGGGAGCGCCCGTATGTGTGCACCAAGTGTGGGAAGGCATTCACACAGAGCTCACACCTTATTGGGCATCAGAAAACACACAGGATAAAGTTCAAGAAGCAGCCCAAATTGTAGCCTTTGTGCCTTTCAACGCACTATTTTTTTAGCCTTGAAATGTACTATGCAAACACTTAGTATGATAGATAGACTTTAAATAAGAGAGCCCCACACCTTAAGGACAGCTCAGGACACCACCCAGCAGGCAGTGAGTGAAACCATCAGGGAGTTTTTAATTGCTTCACTTATTCTCAAAAGGAAATCAAAGATCTGAAAATGCTTCTAAGTTTAAGAAGCCAAGTACCAAAAATTGCACTGATTTCTATACGGGGTAAAGTGTGTGAATGACAAAAACTAAACTTATGTAGATAAAACTATTATATTTGTGTGGAACTTTTTTCTTCTGCTGTAATAGCTGTTTTTCATTTATCAATTTGACTACATCTGGAATTAACTAAAACACTACCAGCTGAGTATACCATTGAGGAATTTTTTTCTTAACTAGATCATTTAAAGTGGGCAAACCCACTTTTAATCTGAATTGCACCTTCAACTGGCAACCTATATAAAGGACACTGAAGAAGGAAGCTTGCCCTCTTTGCCTGCTTGCTCTCACTAGCTAGTCTATCCCCTCACTGGCATTAGAGCTTACTTAGAGGTTCTAGCATGTACCACCTGAGACATCCTTGCTCATGAACTGAACAACTACTGGATTCTTAGACTTCCATTGATAAACAGCCATTGTACTAGATGAACAACAGCCTGTAAGTCATTCTAGTTAATATGTGTGTATGTATGTTTATATATACATATGAGAAGAGAAATTCATACTATCAGACCTACTACACTAGGATACCTTGAATAGTATCTGCTTAATTAAGCATCATTTGTTTGTTTTAGATTTTTGAGACAGGGTTTTTCTGGGTAGGGCTGGCTGTCCTACAATTCACTCTATAGACCAGGCTGGCCTCGAACTCAGGGATCCACCTGCCTCTGCTTCCTAAGTTCTGGGATTAAAGGTGCGAGCCACCTGGCAATTAACAATCTTTTATGTTGGTGATCTCAAACAATACTAGCACATCAGTGTACAGGTGGGAGGATATCTTCAGGAATCATTGGAGGCCCAAAGGTCTAGAAGTCTAGTGAATCCAGGGTCACATGAGAATATCCTCTGGCTTTACATTACCATCTTTCCTAAAGGACCAGTTACAGGAGAAGTTCATCACCGTTAAGCAACAAAACACTGGCAACACCAGGGCATGTGTTTGATACTCACTTTCAAATTCCATTACATACGTACATACATAGGTAGGTAGATATCCAGGTCAACAAGGAAAAGGAAAGCAAAGGACTAGCAATATGGCTCAGCTGGTAAAGGGGGCCTGCCACCAAACTTGATGACCTGATTTAAATCCCTAGGACAAATGCTGTGGGAAGAGAACTGATTCTTGCAAGTTGTCCACTGACATCCACATGTGTGCCATGGTGTGCAGTCACACAAAATAAAACTATAAAATTCTTCAGAGTTGAAGATAGCTCCATGGTTAAGAATTCTTGCTGCTAGCCAGGCGGAGGTGGCGCATGCCTTTAATCCCAGCACTTGGGAGGCAGAGGCAGGTGGATTTCTGAGTTCGAGAGTTCGAGGCTAGCCTGGTCTACAGAGTGAGTTCCAGGACAGCCAGGACTACACAGAG